TTGTATAGTATAGATATCCGTTTTTGTTGCTAGTATTTTAACTGTTGCTAAATAATTATTTAAAAGATATATTTGGTATTCTTCTCACTTCAGTTGCAATTACTATGGTATTATCCAGGTGGAATACATATTTTCTGATAAAACCGGAACGCTGACGAGAAATTTGATGGAGTTCTTCAAATGTTCAATTGGAGGTATAAGTTATGGATGTGGTGTCACTGAAATAGAAAGAGGAATCGCTCAGCGTCATGGCTTAAAAGTTCAAGAGGTATTATATCTTTTCAGATGGTGAAGTTGCTCCATGCCTTATGGTGCAATGGAAACATGTCTAATTTGCACCGCTACAAATATTTTCAGGAGCAAAGGTCGACTGGTGCAATAAGAGAAAAAGGATTTAATTTTGATGATCCAAGGCTAATGCGGGGAGCTTGGAGAAACGAACCTAATCCTGATCTTTGCAAGGTGCCTTACTTTCATTCCCTAGATATTTGGCTCACAATCAGTTTAAGAATTAGCTAAGAGGTGATGGGGTTATAGGGTTTCCGTGAGAAATTGTGGTATATGGTGTATTTGATAGATGGTGAGATCTGAACTTGTAAGGTTATAATTCGAGGCCTTTGTTCTGGGAGCCTTATACTAAAAACTACATAATTGTTCTGACTAAAGCCTCTTATAATAAAATTGTAGAGGTTTCAAGTAGTTCCTTGGTTTTGGGTTCCTGATTTCTACTGTGTCTATTTCTTGGCACACACGTGCTCTAACTAATATGATTCTAACTTAAAATATTGCATTTTTGATATTTTTAGGAACTTTTTAGATGCCTGGCCATCTGTCACACTGTCCTTCCTGAAGGTGATGAGTCCCCTGAGAAGATTGTTTATCAAGCTGCATCTCCAGATGAAGCTGCCTTAGTTACTGCTGCCAAGAATTTTGGATTCTTCTTTTATAGGTAATTCTCATTACATTTCAAATTCCAAATATTTGAAATTGCAGGCAATCAATCTGACAAGATAAATTTGCAATTAGTTGACTTGTCCCATGATTCCTATTTCTAATTTATAGATTTTCTTCCATAAGTGCTTTTGTTTCTTAAGTCTCTGGTAGTTTGTATGAGACTACTTTCATGTATTTTCAGGCGTACTCCAACTATGGTGTATGTTCGCGAGTCTCATGTGGAGAAGATGGGAAAGATTCAAGACGTGGCCTATGAGATCCTAAATGTTCTCGAGTTCAACAGGTCTATATGACAGTGAATTGTTTGTTTATTTTCTTTTCATCATGATTTAAGCATACTAATTATATTTAACACAATGCACAACAGTACTAGGAAGCGCCAGTCTGTTGTATGTCGTTTCCCTGATGGAAGGCTTGTACTCTACTGTAAGGTAATAGTTCTTTATATACTTGGTTCTCTGTGTACTCCTGGATCAGTTTTTGATCATTGCTTGGAACATTGTCCACAGGGCGCCGATAATGTTATCTTTGAGAGATTGGCTAATGGTATGGACGATGTTAGGAAAGTAACAAGAGAACATTTGGAACATTTTGGGTCTTCTGGATTGCGTACCCTTTGCCTAGCCTATAAAGATTTAAACCCTGAAACCTATGATAGTTGGAATGAAAAGTTCATCCAAGCCAAATCTGCATTACGAGACCGTGAGAAGAAGTTAGATGAGGTATACTACTATTTCTTACCTATTTTCTTTTCAATGCTTGTGGCAACATTCTCTTGTTTGTAAACAGGAGTGAAAATGATTTTATGATGGCCTTAAGTAGTGTGAATGATTGTATCCTTGAATACAGTTTTTGAGTCCAGGAAATAGTTTATAATTTTTGATGAATGTGAGGTGTCTTGATCCATGAAGGTGGCAGAACTTATCGAGAAGGATCTTATCCTCATCGGATCAACTGCAATAGAAGACAAACTTCAGGAAGGGGTGCCTACCTGCATAGAAACATTATCAAGAGCTGGAATTAAGATCTGGGTGTTAACAGGGGACAAAATGGAAACGGCTATTAATATTGCATATGGTAGGGTGTGTCACAAACTTTTTCTTTGAGATCTTATTTCTTTCATCTCCCACTTTAATATCTGCTCTTTGATTCTGTTATGCTACAGCATGCAACTTGATCAACAATGAAATGAAACAATTTGTCATCAGTTCTGAAACGGATGCAATTAGAGAAGCTGAAGAAAGGGTAAATGTTTCACTTTAACTTTTCCTTCTTATGTATTCATGAAAGACAATCATTGTAGTTACTTTTAACTAATAAAAGCGTTTATTGTAGGGTGATCAAGTTGAGATAGCTCGTGTTATCAAAGAAGAAGTAAAGAGGGAGCTGAAAAAGAGCCTTGAAGAAGCTCAACACTCTCTGCATACAGTAGCTGGACCAAAATTGTCTCTCGTTATTGATGGAAAGTGTTTAATGTATGCATTAGACCCGAGCTTACGTGTGATGCTTCTCAGCTTGAGCTTGAACTGTACTTCAGTTGTATGCTGTCGTGTTTCTCCGTTACAGAAAGCACAGGTAATTCCAAATTAAGTTCGTCTAGGCAATGCCTTTTGAAGGGGAGTTATATATTTTTGTTCTGGGGCTTTTGTTGCCAAAATTGGTAATCACATATTATCTTGGGTTTAATTATGGTGTACTTTAATTCATATACATTGAGTAACTTGGTTCTATGTGTTTGTTGAACCTACTTATAAATTTTAATATATGTGATCTAATTTCAGGTGACAAGTTTGGTGAGAAAAGGGGCACAAAAGATTACACTTAGTATTGGTGATGGTGCCAATGATGTTAGCATGATTCAAGCCGCTCATGTTGGTATAGGGATAAGTGGGATGGAGGGCATGCAAGCTGTGATGGCTAGTGATTTTGCCATTGCTCAGTTCAGATTTCTTACAGATTTGCTTCTTGTCCATGGAAGGTGGTCATATCTTAGAATCTGCAAGGTTGATTTTCTCTTTCGCCACAAACACGCCTTTAGTTTTTTTTAAAGTCCTAATGATCTTTTTCTTCGCAGGTTGTCATGTATTTCTTCTACAAGAATCTGACCTTCACTTTGACTCAGTTTTGGTTCACATTTCGCACTGGATTTTCTGGGCAAAGGTTCTATGATGATTGGTTCCAGTCATTGTTTAATGTTGTATTTACAGCTCTTCCTGTCATTGTCCTTGGGCTGTTTGAGAAGGTACTAGCTTTTCTCGATCTCTACTTTATACAAAAGAATATTCATCTACATTAAGACTGTCTTCCTTTTGTTTTGGATTGGATAATTTCATCTCTATGTTGTGCTCTTGCTAGGATGTGAGTGCATCCCTTTCGAAAAGATATCCAGAACTGTATAGAGAGGGAATACGTAACTCATTTTTCAAATGGAGAGTTGTAGCAGTATGGGCTTCTTCTGCTGTGTATCAGTCTCTTGTCTGCTATCTCTTCGTGACCACCTCATCTTTCGGTGCTGTAAATTCATCAGGCAAAGTATTTGGTCTCTGGGATGTTAGCACAATGGTGTTCACATGTCTGGTGATTGCTGTGAATGTGCGCATTCTTTTGATGAGCAATTCCATTACCAGATGGCATTATATCACAGTCGGTGGGAGTATTCTTGCATGGCTCGTTTTTGCTTTCATATACTGCGGGATTATGACACCACATGATAGGAATGTAAGCTGTTTGCATACATCTTTGGTTTTCTGATGTTATTTTTTATGTTTATAATTTGGCAAATCTTAGTTACTTATTTTCTCGTCTCTGCAGGAAAATGTCTACTTTGTCATATATGTCCTGATGAGTACCTTCTATTTCTATTTCACATTGTTGCTTGTTCCCATTGTCTCTCTTCTAGGCGATTTCATCTTCCAAGGGTAAGTAAAACCAGGGTATTATCAGTTTCAACTACTTTTTGACATTGACGAACATGTGGTTCATTGCGAACGATTCTGTATCTTAAGGATTATGACTTGAGAAAATCTGTGTCTTTACTGATGCAGGGTGGAGAGATGGTTCTTCCCTTATGATTATCAGATCGTTCAAGAAATACATAGGCACGAGTCAGATGCAAGCAAGGCAGATCAGTTGGAGGTAGAGAACGAGCTCACACCTCAAGAGGCGAGAAGCTATGCGATATCCCAGTTGCCTCGGGAGCTCTCAAAGCACACTGGGTTTGCGTTTGATTCACCAGGTTATGAATCCTTCTTTGCGTCTCAGTTAGGTATTTACGCACCACAGAAGGCCTGGGATGTGGCAAGGAGAGCCAGTATGAGGTCACGGCCTAAGGTACCGAAGAAGTAAAGAACCGATATATAATATCTTATTGCTAATTGTCTTTGTACGTTTAGGCAATGTTGTCCGATTGGGGGTTTTTTTTGTTAGGGCCTTTAGTTTTAAAATATATGTAGAAAATATACTTCTTAGGTGTTTTATGTTTGTGTTTTGCTTTAAATGCCATTTTTCATAGCTCCATTATATGACTCATCTGGAGAGGCAAGCATTAGGACCCAATACTTCTTCCCCATGTACATAAATTTGATTTTATTACACCTTTGAGGTCATTATTTCGCCTTTTATTTATCCTAAATATCTTTTGTTTCTTATTCTTATCTAATGCATGTCAAATGTTTTATTTTGGAGTACTCCTATAGGCTATAACCTATAACAATCCCTTTTTATATTACTTTTGAATGTTTTATAACATAGAAGAAAGAAATGGTTTAGGGACGAAATAATACTATTGGGACTCTTACACACCAAATGTGGTAGAAATAGTGAAATATAACATCAAGTAATAATAAAAGCAGCTAATATCAAAAGACATTTTCTATTATAATATAAATAATAGGAGGCTTCTACAAACCTTTTTCGGTATCAACATCAACAAAAAAATGATGGGTTTTTCGTCTTTGGTATCAAATTCCATTTTTAGAGAGAGGCAATAAAACAAAATAAAATAGAGACACATCTACAATGATACAGCAACAAACAAACTTCGAAAATAAAAAATGAAGTGGTAGGGAAATCACAAAAAATAATCAGGGGTCTTGCGGGTGGTATCGGGTTCGACCTGTCTAGGTGCTGGATCGAACTGAAGGAAGTTCTGTTCCATCTTTTCTCCAATCTCAAGAATTGCTGCCATGTTTCCACATCTGTAACAGTAGTTTGGTGCACTAAACACCGTCACTACGTTCTTTTCCTATCAACACACATATACACCAAAAGATTCAGCTTTTTCCAACAAGAACCCGATTCGAGAAATATCCCAACTTATGTTATGAACATATTATATACCTGACACCAGTTATAGCCCTCCATTACAAGTTGATGCGCTCTTGATATCAGACTCAGTCCATTGTTATGATTAAACTGAGTAGCAATGTCCTGTCCAAACGTGTAACCAGCACCACGGGGAGATATTCCCCATCCACAACGATCATCTGGATCAGACCAGAGTAGATCGCACATTGGTCCTTCATGTGGAACCTACAATCCCAGAGCATACCATATCAAATTATTACAATCCTTGTTCTTTCTGAAGCCAAAACTAATAATATATCGAGGTTTCAGAGAGTTTATAGCCAGAGAGAATCTGTGTCTTTGGGGAAAAAGAGGAGACATTTACAGATACTCAGTCAAACAAAGCTTCCATAGCCAAAATATTGTCAATACCTCTTGTATTCGATCCAAGCTTCGGATATTGTCAAGGGTATCCAGAGAAGGTGAAAGTCCTCCATGCAAACAGAAAACCTGTCACGGAATACAATTAATGAAGAATAGTGCGGAAGTGAAACAACTACAGATGAAACAATGACGACTGGCAAGAGCAACTCGAACCTGACTCTCTATGAGTGCTGTAAGAGGAAGATAATCGAAAAGGTCCGTAAAGTACTTCCACACATTTGCATTTCCGTATTTCCTTAAGCATTCGTCGTAAAAACCATAGCTGAACACACATAAGTAAAACAGGCATGAACCAACACCGGAAAATGAAAAAAACTTAGCGCATAAGATTTTAACTCCCATTTCGTCAGCAAGTTCACGAGCCTCTGTAGTCACTTTCACGTCTAAAGTATCATTTATTTGATCAGTTTATGCATACAGATATAGTTTGAATACTAGATTTTTCAAAGAGCTTCGAATGTTCTTTGGGGTCAAACAAAAATTTCTTGCTAAAATATGGAACACCATCGATATTTGTAGGAATTAGTGCGATTCAGAAGCAAAAGAATCACAAGTTTTCTTCGAATGAAAATCTTACACTTGTGTAATCTGACGACTCTCATGATTCCCTCGCAGGATCGTGAGTCTGTCCCTGTAACGCACCTTCAGTGCCACCAATAGAGAGACTGTTTCTACTGAATAGTAGCCACGATCTGCATAGATACAACCGTTACAACGATAAATCAAAGACAATCACTATCAACATACTTTGAATTAAGCACACTTGCACTAAAAATCTGACATAACCCACAAAAGTTTTAAAAAGTTTAGGGAAGGGCCTTCATGAAAATGAACATCATTATGTTTAAAGCATAATGATGGCCACTTAGCAAAATATAATAACAAAAGCTACTCATCAGAAGACTAAATTAATCCCTCCATAAAAAACAAAAAAGAGATTCATTTTTAAAAATTAGCGGAAGCAAACCTAAAACGAACAGATAAAAACATCAAATAGTGAAACTAAAGACAGTAACTAAGCTTTTATGGATACAATTCACTGCCCATGAAAATTTCTAAAACTAGTCAGGACTCTGATAAATCATCAAACTTTTCCACTAATCAATCAATAAAGGGTCTCATAACTTCTTTTGCAATACCATCTGAACAAGTCTAACATCAGCAATTTAGAAAAGTTTGTTCATCCCAACAAATGAAACCCACAAAGAAGCTCACTTTAGGTATACCAAAATTGCAACCTTTCATAGAAAAGCGTCAAAATTAGGCTAAAATCAAATCAAAAGCAAATCCATGAAACAATCGGTGAATCTCTAAAAAAAAAACCAATACACGCTAAACAACAACAAATCAGGAAATTTAACTTACGCAGAAATCAAAATCCATAAAAAAAAACTGAAATTAAGTGATAGAGAAGAGAGAGACATACCTACATAATCACCCATGAAGAGGTAATTAGTATCAGGAGCATTACCACCAATACGAAAAAGCTCAATTAGGTCATAAAACTGTCCATGGATATCGCCGCATACCGTAACCGGACACTTAACCGGTTGAACATTATATTCCTCAACGAGAATCGCTTTGGCTTGATCGCAGAGGATCTTCACGTCTGCTTCACCCAACGGTTTACACTCCATTAACTGTTCGATCTGACGGTCGAGATCTCCGTTTGACGGCATCTCTCGTCGTCGTCTGTAACCTTAATCCAAAATCTAACGATTAGCCACCGAATCGTTGTAAATCTAACACGGCGGCGACGGAGGAGGAGGAGAAGTCGCCGATTGTTTTAAAGGTGGCTCTGGCCCGTCTTTGGTTTGGTTTCTCTCATCACACAAAAATGGATATTTATTATTTTCTTACACAAAATGATTTTTTTTTAATATTTTTTTTTCCTTAAATTGTTTTTTCACAGATTTAAATGATCACGTCGACACGCCGCTGGGCATAAAATCCTAACCAAAACCGAACCGATGATTCATAAAATCCAAACGAATAATAAATTTTCCTATCTAAATTATCTGAATCCGAATATATCCGAATCGAAAAGTCTTAAAATCCAAATTGATAATAAACTCTCATATCCGAATTATCCAAATCCAAATATATCCGATCCGAATCCGATCCAAAATCCGAATGCCAGGCCTACACGGTACAATGAGATTTTACGTATTTTTTATCGACACAATGATTTATATGGGCTCTCGCCAGTTCCTCGGCGAAATCTTTAGCAAAATTATATAATATATTAAAATTGGTAATTATTATATTTGTGTAGATTAAAACTTGTTCAGATTTATCATCTATTCAGTTTAATAAACTAAAATTTATTCTTAGTCAAACTTATACTCCCTCCGTATTAGAAAGATTGATTTTCTAAGATTTTCACCAAGATTAAGAAAACAATAAATGATGTATATTTATTACTTACTCTTGTGTTATATATTTTAAAAAGTTTGGAGGAAGCAAACAAAATCTTAACCCATAGGAATAGGATCAAGGCTCTGATACCATGATAAGTTTGGAGGAAACCTTAGAAGTAGAATAGTTTCTCTCGTAAGAATAAAGTTATAAAATACAATCTCTTATATAAAGATTAGATTTCCTAATTTAAGATAAATATAAATGTAAATAATATATTTAGAGATAATGTTAAACTTCCTAAACTTAAGATATGATAACTTCTAGATCATTCTCGATCTTCATGATTTTTATAATCTTGGGTTTTTCATCTCGACCGTCGATCTCGGTCGATCTCCGGTTCCTCCAATAGAAAGCGATGGCTCTTCTCCTCACCCTCCAACATGCCAAAGACCTTGGATTCACCAAAATTTTTATTGCTTCAGATTCGCGTCAGCTAATCAAAGCTATCAAATTAGAGACTCAATCAAAGAGCTCCACAGAATTCTCTATAACATCTTGCTTCTATCTTCTCTCTTTGATGATGTTAAGTTCTCGTCTATCTCTCGATGTAATAATCGAGTAGGAGATGCTCTAGCAAAATTGGGTCTTTCAGGTTTACCATTGTACGTGGTTATACCGGTTTACTCTATCTATACTAGTATTTTTGCAACACTTTGGTGACGGGTGGGTAAAAATGCTTCTGGGTTAATCGGATATCCGACCCGTTTTTTAAAATCCTTCACAAAAAATTTGTTGGGTCGGGTTATATTAAACCCAACTCATACGCCGGATATTCCATATTTAATAATTTAGATATTTAGAAGATTTGATTAAGATTTATAATTATGATTCTCCTATCATCTTTGTTTGATTTGTTTTTAACTGTTTTGAATCATCATATAATACATAAAGTAAAAAAAAAAACAATTTGTTTTTCTGCATATACTGTGATTCGAAATTTAAAAAACGGACATATATTATCTAATTGACGAAAATGTGTGTTCAACGTTCTACATCGATTAAAATATTTAGACAATGATTCAAAATCATATCATAAATAAGATCAACATTAATAAAATAAATGAGTTTTTTGGCCGAACGGGTTTGGCGGGACGGGTTTTTGAATCAACAATAGTAAAAAGATTAAAATATCATCAATCCGCCGCTTCAATACGGATTAAATTTTTTTTTTTAATACCACCAATATTAGACATATTAAATCAGTCTCATTTAGAAAATGTTGTATAAAACCAAAAATTGTCCCGTGGTATAATGTTACTTAATAACAATATTTATAAAATTTTAAATATCATTAACATGCCGCTTTAATACATATTAAATCTTCAGTTTATTAAAATATAAATGTCTTAGAGAATAATATAATTTGTAAACTTTTATATATAATAAATAATCATTAAATTTTAAAATAAAAACAAATCACGGGACGGGTTAAGAAATTACGGAACGAGTTATATTTCGGAAAGGATTTATATGGCGGACGAATTTGAATCAATATTTATATACCGCTTTATTACGGGTTAAATCCTCAGTTTATTAATAATTGTCTCGTGGACTCGTGGTATACCGTTACTTAATAACAATTGTAAACTATAATATAAATAAATATGTTATAAGGAGATACAATTTACAAAATATTTTTATACTAACTTTAAAATTAAATCATCCCGCGGTGTACCGCGGGTTAAAATCTAGTTTATTAATAAAAATCTACCGTTTCGAACAAAAAAAGGATAATGTTTTTTTTTTTGTTTTTTTCAAATTACATCAAAAGGTGTTAGCTAAGCAAAATTATTGCATTGGGAATCATTAAATAGAATTGCGATGTATAGAAGTATTATCCTGTCCTACGGACATGTCAAACATTCACCTAAGAAATATAGGAAGTATACATTTTTCATGATATTGTTCTGCATACTGTTATTTGTTTTCCAACGATAATTTCTGTTTTAGCAAATTAAATGGATTCGCTTTATGATAGAAATAATTTGGAAAAAATGATTTGATACACCAAATGTAACTACCCTAAATTGGCGGTGAGAAAACATTAAGGAAGCTTGCAGAGTACATCGAGTGGCTTTGCATCGTTAACACTTTTCTAGTGTGATGCTTCATTTTAATCTTGGAATTTACAAAAAAAAAATACAGAATTTGTTGACATGTTCCAAACACTAAATATGTGCCTTAGACTGAAATTGCATAGTAGATTAAGAAACATAATTAGATGGATTACATCATTGACATGAACACAAAGCAGGCTTCCCTCCCCTTCTACAATGGAGATTTTCTTGTTTCAGAGATAAACCGGGAGGTTTGATTTCATTCACAACACATTCTCTTTGCAACTGTTTCTTAAATAGTAGAGAAGAGCATGTGTGTTGGCTTTGCGTTCTGATTTCTGTTGGGCTTGTGGTGCTGTCTTCACCCAATTCCATTTTCTTCCTTGTTGAAGCTCACCTTCATCCTTAGAAATACTTGTGGTGTTGTCTGCAAGTGTTTTAAACTGTACTCAAAAGGAAGACAAAAGTCTTATCTTCTCAAATTCAAAATTTACATCTGAAATACCCAAAAGAGTGTAGAACATAAACGCAAAAAAAGAGTGTAAGACACAAAAGATTTGAATATATATATATATTTTGTATATCTGGAAGTTCAAGTCCAAAGGCCATATATCTCCTAGAGGCGAACTCATACCAGGTTAAATCTATTTCCTTCAGAGAAGAGATCTCTCCCAACGGGCGTCGAACTCAGTACCTGCACCTGGGAGATTTACCACTCGGCCAACACAACTCTGGTGATTTGAATAATACTTGTGAAAGGAAGGAACAAAAAGAAAACAAAAGAGATTGACAAAAAAAAAATTATGGAACATAGAAGAACTATGGTTAAGCGTGCTTAAGCTGGAGCACTTTTAGGATGGGTGACCTTCCAGGAAGTGATTGTCGGAACTGTGTGAGTGAGGACAAAACACAGAAAAAGATCATGTGGTGATTTGTAAGGTCGGTAAACAAGTCTTTAAAACCTTCCGGACGTAGCGGACCGACCGTCAGATATGGATGGGCCACAGGCCGAGAGAGGATGTGGGGCCCATTAAACGAGGTGGTGGTCGGGGCGTTATAAGTGGTATCAGAGCCAAACCCAGACGAGTGTGGAGTCAAGAGGGCTCATACCGTCGGGGGTGATGGTCTGGATGCGCAACGAGGACGTTGTGATCTATTAGTGGGGGTTAATTGTAACAATCCGGTTTTAGAAATATGGTGGTGCATGCGGAGAGGTTTATAAGAATTGATTTGGCCACCTATGTCACCAAAGTGTACTTATCTTTTCTGTCAAACGTCCTGAGAAAACTCCACAGTTAAGCATGCTTGAGCTGGAGCAATTGCAGGATGGGTGACCTTCCGGGAAGTGATTGTTGGAACTGTGTGAGTGAGGACAAAACACAAGAAAAGATTATGTGGTGATTTGTTGGGTCGGTAACCGAGTCTTTAAAACTTCCCGAACGTAGCGGACTGACCGTCGGATATGGATGGGCCACGGGTCGAGAAAGGACGTGCACCCATTAAGTAAGGTGGCGGTCAGGGCGTTACAGTTAGTAAGAGTTTATCTTAATCAAAGAAGAAGCTCTAGTTTTTGCGGTTTCTAGGAAGTAAAGATTTCAGAATCGTGTCGAATATATTCGTAAGATGATGGAAGAGAGTTTGAGGGAGTTAGTGGAGATCGTGTAGAAGTGGAAAAATTAAAAAACCTAGTAAAAATAAGTAGTTTTAAAAATATATATTATATTTTGGGAGAGTATACAAAAAAATATAAATTAAATTACGCAAGTTATAAAGAAAAAGAAACTGTGAAATATACGTTTAACAAAAATTGATTTTTTAAGTCGTTGCCATTAGGCCTCGACCGGATCCGGATATCCGGCTTTTTTAGAGTATCCGGATCTGGCCGGATCCGCCTTTTCATTATCCGGATCCGGATCCGTTTCACCCGGATATCCGGGTTTCGGATATCCGGCGGATATTCGGATCCGGGTTTTTTTAATATAATTTTTTTATTAATATAAAATTTGAAGAAAAATATTTAAAAACAAATAATTTAATATAAATAATTAAAAATATTATTAAAAATATTATTCTTATATAAAATAATAAAATTTATTAATAAAATTTAAATAATAGTAATAAAATATTAAAAAATAATATTATAATATAAAATATCTCGGATTCGGATATCCGGCTTTAAATTTTCTATTATCCGGATCCGGCCGGATCTGCTTTTTCATTATCCGCATCCGGATCCGCCCCACCTGGATATCCTGTTTTTCGGAGCGGATCCCGG